ACTGCTCCATTTTTGTGTGGCACTTGATAGCCCCCATTTCACAGAAAAATAGAAAACACCAAAGGGGGATTCCCAGTCAACCCGCTTTAAGACTACGAAATGGGAAATGTTTGTTTAAGAATTGAAACATTTTCACATATTAAATGCTGAAGCGTTTGATGAAATAAAGGTAGATTAATTTAAATTTTAAAGAATTCTCTTCTTCAGAGATTAAATATTTGTTTAAGGTTAACGTTCTGCTTCATTGATCTATTATTGATGTATAATATTTTTTAAATTGTACACGTGTTAATATAAATTAAAGTAAAACAGATCAAATAAACATAATTAAAAATCTTTAGTTTAAGAAGAAAGTTTGATGAATTATTATATTATTATTTTTGGGCTCTAATTTTATTGCAAGAGATACAGTCTTATCTGAATAACCAAAACCAAAGGGCATAACTGTATATGTGTATAGTATTTTTTAACTTTTTAATTGTCTACACGAGTTAATATTCCAAATATCACATCTCAAGCTTTAAAACCGACGAATCGTAGAAATGATATCGCAGATGAACTATCTAAAATCAGAAATAGGATATCCTAGCTCCACTTGAGAATAAGGATTAAGAATGAAAATTCTTATCATATTTTTCAAAAAAATTTTTTTTATAGAAATACAAATTTAAGAAAATGCCAATACATAGATTAAATAGTGCAAATTACCATACCCGATAAGTATGCTATAGAAAGAAATTTGCACAAGAATTGAAAACATTTTGAATTTATTAGGCACGGCTCATAAAATATCTCCTTATATTAGAAATTTTTTCTTAAGTCAATTAAAGAAGTGCACTGTGGCAAGCCAAAAATAAATCAATTTTTGAATTTAATTACATGCATGTGGTTAGCTGTATATCAACGGAAGTACATATACATACATATGTATGCATTTACATATATACAAATCTTTATGTACATAATATAGATAGCCACAGTCAAACCTTACTCTGCCTCTTCTGCCTTTGTGCACTTAGTAAGTGTTGGCGCCATGTTTTAATACACTCAACACATATATATACATAAAATACAAGCATACATTCAAACACTCATACGTACAGCTGCAGTCACTTTAATAAGTTTGCTAGATTTGGATACACACACCACAAATAGCTAATAAAAATCTATTGTGAAAAAACTGTTGCATTGCCGGCTCACAAAACAGACAACCATAGCGACGAGAGAGTCTGTGTAATAGAGCGAGATGGCGACACCGAGAGCGAGAGAGCATCGTCGGCGTTGAGAGCCGAAACGAAATGAGCCGAGCACTAAGCAAACGAGACAACAAACACAAAAGCGAAAGCGAGGAGTCGCACTTTCCAGCATAGTGCGTGACTGTCAACGGGCGAAGTGTGTATGTGTGTGCATTCCTCTCTCTCTTGATCTCTCTCTTTGTGTGTGTGTGTGCAATGGCATTTTAAAGAGTTCGCCTTTGCCTCCTGGCAAAACACATTTAGGCAACCGCCTGCTGCGCCTATTGCTCTTCTCCTCTGTTCCTCTTCCCCACACTCCACTTCCAGCCTCATCAACATCATCGCCGCCGTCGTCGTCGTCACCAAACTCTACACAATTTAGGCTGCCGGTCATCGGCCCATTCAGGCGGCAGACAGGCCGGTCGTTTTTGCATTGCTCGCCATTAACGGACGCACTTTAAATCAGTTTACGTTATAACGTCAACAGCGACACTACGTCACTTTGCGGCCTTTGTCGGAACATTTGTCTGTTGCGCGGCTCTCTCTCTCTTTCTCTTGCTCTCGCTTCCGCCCAGTGACGCGTTTTTACTTTTACGCGGCTAATTTTTAATTTCGGTGGTCGACTCAAAAAACAGTCCGAAGTGCAAAATCCAATGAATTATCACGGAATCATGTTAAACTAACTCTGATTGGAAATATTCAAATCAAGTTAAGTAAGTCATCTTAGTTTATTTGACGTTACATACACTATTGATTGTCAATCGTGGAAGTTGAAATTCAAGTCTGAGCTGGCGCCCATTAATATGAAACTAATTTGTATTAAATAATATATAATATTTATAATTATAATTAAAATTAATTCTTTTGCCTAATATAATTTGAGGCTTGTGAAATTGAATTAAATAAACAAAAAATATTCAAAACACACAATATAAGAATACAATTAATTTGAAATTGAATTGAAATATTGAAAATAGGAAATAAGGTTGAAATGGTTTTTAAATAATAAATATAATATAAATATAATAAATAAAATAATAATATAATATAAATATAATAAATAAAAAATAAACAAATTATTAATACAAGTAATCATTTAATTATACATTATAAAAAATGGCATAAAAATAAAATAAATAATTATAATTATTAAATAATAAATAATAATAATAAAAATAATAGAGCTACTTAAAATAACTAAAAAAAATGTATTTGAATAATTTTGAACTAAAAAATAATTATTAAATGGCAAAAATGACAATGCTTATTAAATAATAATAACCAACTGCTTAAATATATTTTGAATTTAATTTTTTATTTTTTTATGACAAAATTAATTTTTAATAATTATACAAAAGCTAAAAGTTTTTTTTTTTAATTTAAGAAATACACAACTGAACATTTTTTAAATTTATGAAAATCAATAAAGAAATTTTAACAATAATCAGAATAGATTTTTGCTCACATAACTCTTATGTTATATTCAAACATTACTCATACGCACCTTTAGCAAATATTTTTAAATGCTTCAATTATAATAATAATAACTTCTGATTTTAATAATTTTTTTTCGCCAAGAAAAATTCCTAAAAAATATATTTAAAAAATGATTCCATTAAAATATTACGTATCCGTAATTTATTTTATATTTTAAGTGACAAATTCAATTTGAAATCACTTGACACCAAAAAGAATAAATGTTTTAATTTCAATTTTAATTTCTTACAAACTTTAAATAACCACTTTTATTAGAATTATAATTTATTTTTATTATTTATTAAATAGTTTTTTCATTTATTTATGCCATACATTTATAAAACACTCATATTTTGCAAATAGCACAGATATTTATGATTCCGCTTATAATGCGTGTGCATATTTACACATTACGCATACGCCCCCATTGCCAGTTGTGACCGCGTTTCCGGTTGCTAACAAACCTTCGCATACGACTCTGTGTGTGCGTGTGTTTGAGTGTGTGCTGGAGTGCATTTCACAGACGGGTCATGGCCACGGCCACGGCCACGGCCACGGCAACGACCATTGGCTTTTCGGTTTCAGCCTGCGCCTGGTTTCACTTTCACACACACACACGCAGAGCGGAGCAGAGCACAGCACACGGAGCACAGCAGAGCACACGGAGCACACGCACACACACATACACACACACACATGCACATTGAGTGGCCGGGATAAACAACGCAATGGGCGCGCGCGACTTGCACTCAGCCTCGTCTTGCCAAATGCCGACAGCAGCAGCAGCAACAGCAATTGCAGCCAACACGCCTCCTCCATGCCCACGCCCACGCACCACTTGACACCAGTTTTGCCTGCAAGCGTCATCCACTTGTAACACATTCGCATCGCATCGCATCCCAGTTGTGGAGCCAATGTTGACCAGCCCGCGGCGCGGGCGCGACTTGTTCGCTGTTTCACGACGACGACGACGACGTCGACGATGATGACGCAATGCACCCTACACACAAATACAAACACACACTTACACTCACACACATGCAGTAGAGTTGCACTTCTACCTCTCTAACACACACACATGCATACGCGAGAGCTGCACTGCCATTTCTCTTCTTCTGCTGCTCCTGCTCCTGCTCCTACTCCTGCTCCTCCTGCATTGCTCTTGTTGGCAACGGCTCTCCGCATGAGTCAAAGTCGTGCGCTCTTGGGTTCTTACTGAATGCCGACTGCAGCCACCACCTCTCGTGTGCCATGGCATGCCCATTCCCCATCTCCCGCCCACCTTGTACATGCGGCAAGTGCATTTACCTCTGCTTTGCATGCTGCAGACTGAGCTCGACTGGGTGCAGCGACTCGCTCTGTGCTTGGTGGGCACGGAGTTTGTCGACGATTTGTGTGCGTGGCCTGGTTTCGTCGATTGGCCTTGCATGCGGTTATTTCAGTGTCAGCAGCATCTTTGTTGTTGCCATCGATGCGTTGCGAGGCGAGGTGAGGTGAGGCCACCTTCTCCTGCTTGACTTTGCCTCTGCCTGGCCGCATGCAAATCCTGCGGTAGTCGCTTCTCTGTGCCCAGCTGTCCACACACACACACACACACACTCACATACACACAATGGCGGCTGGATATGTTGCAGGCATTTTTGCTGCTCGATTAACGGTGCACGGTGCACGTTGCACGTTGCTCGTTGCTTCATGTCAAGGCAATGACCCAGTTCTTAAGTGTTTCACTTTAAAGCGGAATATGTGTTGGTTGAGTTTTATAGAATTCGATATTTATTGCATGAAATTCATATCTATGACATCGATCAACACTTTAATTATCTTTAGCTATAAATATTGCAACCTCATTTAAAGTTTATATTTTACTCTATCAAAGAATCTTCAATTTCACAGTTAAACAAAATATTAATTTTAAAATGCTTTATTTAAACTAATTTAAATTTTCTATACAAATGTACCACTTCTTTCCTTATTATTATTATTATTGATAATATTATTGACATTATTATTATTATTATTAATTTTTTTTTCCTCATCCTCTTATTCTACCAAGGGCATCTTTAAACATCGAAAATTATAGTCGAGTATCGATAGTTAACTACAATGCTTCCCATCTAATTCCTAAATACTATACTTTCCAACGTTTAAATGTCGAATGTTGATATTAAACATAGCTGACTGTATAATACTCGTTTATGGAAAAAAAGAAACAAAGTCCAATATCTGATTCATGATCAATGTAGTCATTGAAGAAAGTTGTGAAAGATGCCTATTATTAAAAACACCAAAAACCTTTAAAGGGTTTATATTTGTTTCATTAAATGGTTCTTCCATTCAATATAACTTAATTCGATTTGCCAAGCTCCATATCAAATCGATATAGACCAAGATTTATGACGAATTCCAGAATCAACAAAAAGGAATAATTTTCATCTTTATCGATTTACTCATTTCTCTACAATAATACATACAGCCGGGGGGAGAGACACATAGTGGAAGTAAGCAAAATCCAGGCTTCACACTCTTTTCAGTAGGCTGACATTTGATTGTGCTGCAGTTGACTTCCTCATAAATGCCACAAGGCATGCGAGCAACTCCAGAGGTATCTGTGAAGAAGTTGAGCCATGAAGAGCTCTTAAACTGCATGAGAAGTAGTTCCTAGACTATTCACCATTATTTGTAGAGCTGAGCAGAGAAGAAAATCCAAATAAAAAGCAAAACAGAACTAAAAACCATCCAGACATGATGTTACGGGACTGAGAACTATATAAACACTTTGTAATATGTGCAATTGTGCAATTAGCGATTGGTATAGCTAATTAGTATGACTAATTTTGTCAAGCGATTCCCTGCGAGATTGTAAGTGGAAATTAAACAAATAGAAGTTCTCTAGTCGAAACAACTCGACTAGGAGATGCCCTGAGTCTTGCACAGCTGATACTCCAATTATTCTACGCTTGCTTCGGGCGAAAAGGGCGTAATATAGAAAATCTAAGAATTATAAAATCTTTGTATTCTATATATAGACCTACATAGTAAATCTGTAATCCTTAATATCTACATAGATTAAAACTGAATACCTTTTATAAATGAAAATTCTACAGAAAAGGGTTCAGATTGTAGATAAAAACTATTGCAAGTAGGTCGTTTAGCTATAGCTACGTATATATATATTTTTATTTTAAGGAATGGTGAGCGTATAAAAAGTTAAGCAAAGTACGCAAAATTTTGACGTTTTTCCACACATTTTCCGTTGATCTTCCGATAACCAAACTGACAGACGCAAGTTGGATTGTAGCAGTAGTCTCTTCCCGGACAGTACTGACCCCACGAACACTCGACCATCGTACAGCTAACTTCCTCATTGATGCCACATCGCACGCCCACAACATGATAGGGATCTGCAAACAAGTTGAGCCATCAACCAGATGATAAGTAGTTCCCCCACTAATCACCATTTTGTGTAGAGCTGAGCACAGGATAGAAAAATCCAAATAAAGAGGCAAACAGCGCTATTAACCAACCAGACATGATGTGACGTGACTGAGAACTATATAATCACACTGTAATATATCAAATTACTACCTAACGCTTGGAATAGCTAAGTAGCATGACTAATTCAGTCATGCGATTCGCTGTGAGATTATACCTGGAAATTAAATATGTTTAGAAATAGCTTAGAATAAATACATACATATATAAAAGAGCCTACAAACATTAAGGTGAGATGTCTCTAATTAATTAATTTAAAATCATTCCTAATTTATTTCTATATTATATTATGCAATCTTCAATTAAACACAGGAATTCTCAATTAATTAGTTTTAATTCAATTTATTACTATTTTTGGTTATTAATTACTATTTTTAATTTTTATAATTTAAAAAAATTGATTTATTTTATGGTTAGTTAAACAATTTAGATGCCAATAATAATTACAAAAAGCACAAATATTACTTACCTAAACATAATGCATAAAATTTCAAATATTAACATTTATTCATTGCGAAATTAATTCAATTTTATTCGCTAATACAAAAATCAAGCGGTAATTTTCACAACTTTAAGAGAGCAACTAGCTCTCGCTAACTCTCTCCCACTCGCTGTCTGGCCTATTCTCTCATGCTCCTAGCATGCACAATCGCATACAAGCACAGACACACACATGTAAAGCAATGCCGGCACGAAGCTTCGTACTTTTGTCTCGTGTTCAACACAAACATACGCACACACACATGCACTCATGCACACGACCGCCGCACAGGACAAGTTGGAGTGTACAAGCGAGATGGCAGCGGGTCGGTCAGTAGCAAACTTGTGCCACACGCCGTTAGGTGGCCCTGTCGTGAATGCGGCACCCGACACAGACGTAGACGCTCTGCCTCGAAGCTGGTGTTTTGTATGGGTTGCATGAGGAGGCGCCATCATACTGCAGCAGTCGTAGTCGCAGCGCAAAACAACGATAGTCGGGCGCCTACCTACACTCCTTTTAGCCCGGCCTAGCCAGGGCAACAATGCAAACAGTTTTATTTTTTATAGTTTTTTTTTTATATTTCTATATGTATACATATGCCGCCGCGCGGGAATTCACGTCTGCTCGCTCGTCTCGTTAAGTGTTTTCAAGAGTGTGTTTGTATGTGTGTAAGTGTTTGAGAGAACTGCAAACACGTAGCAAAAACGGAACGAAAAAACGTAAGCTACAATACCAATCGGGTGCACTTTCACATTGTGTTGTCCAGCCGATCGGCTGCGACGACGTCGCTAGCGCCAGCGCCAGCGCCAACGTCAACGTTAACGTCAGCGTCAGCATCGGCTTTTCTTTGTGAGCGACGCGACGGGCGCCTTATTGCTGCCTGCTCCTGCCTTTGATTTTTATTGTGTCACGCGTTCGCCGAAAAAAAAGAGAATAATAAAAAAATATATAAATAAAACAAAACTACGACACGCGTCTCAAGTGAAAGTCCATTTTACAACATTTGATAAAGATGTCTCCGATGCATATTGTCTGCCGACAGCTGCCCAAAAGTGAGCTGGTATTTAAATACACTTGTGTGTGTGTGTAGTTGTATTTCTGTTTGCGTTCCTCTCTCAATTAAACACGACACTAATTTGCGTACTTAGTGAAAATCGATATAGCCAAAACTTGCCCTTTACGCTTCGCGTTAGCTCACCCTTTTCGTCTAACTCTTTTTCATTTCTTGAGTTCACAAATTAGTAAATTCTTGACTTTTTGCAGATTTTTGTGGAATTTATGCAAAATATTGTTATAAAATCACACTCGCACACATACACGTAAATACAGGCACATGTACGCTAACGGGACAACCCTAACCTAAACACAATGTGCCGACATACTGAATGCGAACTGGCGCACAGTGGTATGAACTGTTGAGAATATCGTGAAATTTAAATATGTAAATATTTGAACTAAATAAGCTAGAAACATTTTGTTGTTTTTTTGTTATAAAAAAATAAAAAATAAAAAATGAGAACCCAAAACTTGCTTAGAGTAGTCGATCTGTCACCAATACTAATACCAATCAAATGAGTCTATTATACTTTTGGAAACATATTGTTTATTTATAGTATTCAATATACAAATTTGTTACACATAATTATATGTTAACACATTATAAATTGCTTATTTGAATAAGTCACCCAAATGCCACAAATCTGCGAGCACTGTGCAGGCTAGTGTAGTTTGTGTTCGTGCTTTTGCTCGTATTGCGCGCAGGTTTGCCGCTCTTTTTGTTGCTTCTCACGCTGCCGGCATACTACGTATATATGTATATCGTCTATATATGTATGTATATGTATGCGCTTGTGTGTACGTGGGTGCGCGTTTGAGCAGTCAAAATAATAACAGCGGCTGCGATTTCACTTTCCATTCAGAAACCCAGAGCCGGCCTAATCTTAAATTCTTTAGGATTTTTAGAATTTTATGTAGACACATGCATTCAATTTGTTCAATGTGTAAAGTGTTTCGTGTATTCTTATATATTTGTATGTGTACATACTTACATATGTATATACATCAATGCATTTTTAAATCAATTTTAATAATAATGATCTCTATCTTAATATTTTTTTTTTATTCCCATAAAAACTTCCCAACTTCTTTTTATTTTTCGTCCATATTGCGCCTGTATTTTATCACTTTCAAAGCCCAATGCTCTCCTCAGTTTCTTCTTAAAATACGTACAGCCTCTCTACGTGATTTTCATGAACTATTCCTGCGTTCCCCTGATTGAATCTTACATGAGAGTTTCTATTAAAATATTAATTGATTAATAATTTATTTGCAGTTGCTAACAATCCGACGTAAAAGAAAGCTTCCGATCCGCCGGAATCCTCTAGCGAGTCACGCAACGAACGCACAATGAATTTCACACCCTTTGGCAATACGTTTCCGGGCCTGTCGCAGTTTACGACGACAACGTCGTCGCCGCTGGTGTCGACGGTAACTGCCGCTGTGGCCGTTGCCGATGCCGATGTGACTGCGGCCAACAACAACCCACAGCAACAGCAGCAGCAGCAACAGGAGCCGGGCGGCAGCGGCAATCGCTATCAGCAGCAACACCAGCAGCAGCAGCAGCAGCAGGTGGCAGCCGGCGTGTCCATGGCGCACTTTAGTCAGCCGAGCAGCAGCGCCGCCGCTGCCGCCAGCAGCAAATTCCGCAGCGGGCAGGAGGAGGCGCTGCAAGGTGACAAATATAATGGGCATCTGGTGGCCACTGCCGCACAGCAGCAGCAGCAGCAACAACAACAGCAACAACAACAACAGCAGCAGCAGCCGCAATATGCGACCGTCTATGCAACAAGTGCCACGACAAGTGCAGTGGATGCCATGCAGGCGAGCAGCTCCGGGCAGCAGCAGCTGCAGCAGCAACAAGTGGTGGCACCACAAGAGCTGACACAAGATCTATGCAATGCCATATTGCAGCAACAAGGTGAGTGGAAAACCAAAACTCTAAAGCAACTCTATCAATGCCTTCTCTTTGACTTTGCAGTGCTACAGAATACCTCGTGGCAAACGATCACGCCCGGCACGACCGTCGCGGACTACCTCTCGCATCTTCCAGCCAACACGTTGCCACTCTCGCTGCACCACTTCCTCAAGTACTCCGCCGAGACAATCAAAAAGGAGAATCAACAGAATGTGGTATCTATCGATTGTAATCTGTCTTCTAGCCTATCTCTAATCTCTCTTACAAGCAGGTGCTGCAGGTGCAGACGGGACCAGGCGCCGCCATTGGCATCAATACCATTGGCACGACGACAACCATTAGCATACCTCAGCAGGAGCAGCAGCCGCTGCATCAGCAACAACAGCAACAGCTGCCCCAACAGCAGCAGCAACAGCAGCAGCAGCAGCAGGCAACACTGCAGTTGCAGACACAAAGCGTGGTGGCAAGCAGCTCGACAGCTGTCAGTGGCACCAAGAAGAAGAAGCGCAAAAAGCGCTCCAAAGAGCGCAAGCCTAAGCTGCGTCCCGGCGAAATCCGAATGGGCACAGCCTTGGATGGTAGCCCGCTCTATATGTGTCCCGAATGCCATGTAGCGTATCCGGAGCCGGAGCTGCTCGAGGTGCACCTGGTGGGGCACAATCTGGAGCGACGCTATGTGTGCGACATCTGTCAGGCATCGCTCAAGCGCAAGGATCACCTGACACGGCACAAGCAATCGCATAATCCCGAGCGGCCGTACATCTGCACCGTCTGCCTGAAGGCCTTCAAGCGCAAGGAGCAGCTGAGTCTGCACTTTGTCATTCATTCGGGCGAGAAGCGGCATCAGTGCCAGGAGTGCGGCAAAGGCTTCTACCGCAAGGATCATCTGCGCAAACACACCCGCTCCCACATAGCCAGGCGTGTCAAGGCCGAGCTGAATAGCCATGTGCGCCGAGAGAACGGCACCAGCATGTTGCAGCCGGTGGTGACAGCGGCGACAACGGCCGCCGTTCAGCATGCCAATCAGCAACAATTGCAGCTACAACAACAGCAGCAGCAGCAGCAACAACAACAGCAGCAGCAGCAGCAACAGCAACAGCAACAACAACAGCAACAACAACAGCAGCAACAACAGCAACATCACATAGTCGTCAGCCAGCAGCAGCAACAGCAACAACAACAGACAACCGCCCAGCAGCAGCAGCAACAGCAGCAAATGTTAAATTAGCCAAATGATTTTTGTAAAGTCAGTTAAATCAAAATTCAAAATCCATGCCACACATTTGATGCAGCGCGCGGCAGCAACAGCAACTGTTGCCGCACGCACAAAATTCAAGTTCAACGAAACATAACTCTCTCGGTCCACGCAATTTAATTGACTCACACAAATCGGATATACGAATATCGTCGAGGATATTCAGCAAATGCAATAGCTAAAATTGTAAAGTCGTCTCTCTGGGGGCACTTTCCAACACTGTACAATTATTCCTAGGCAAAGTGACACACAAAGCTAGTCCTAATATACTATATAGTGCTATAAAACTGGGACCATAAACTTGATCAATTATGTCTGATTTATGCTATAAAATATGTACTATGCAGAAGAACTATAGTCAATCGGTCGTAAATTATGAAATTCTAAGAATCTTAAAAAAATTGTTATATTATAAATTATTATTATATTTTCTGTATCTTTTATATGTGTGAATAAGTAAAAATGGATGAAGCATCTACTCCTATCTTGAATTGAAATCTTTTTTATATATTTAATCTAAATACTACATACACCTTGTTCCTATGGAACTTCAATGATATAGCTATATATAATATTATATGAAAAGTTCTGTTAAATATGCTGAAGATTATGTTCCTTAATGATATACAATGTCATCTATTTATTGTGTTCCATTTAAGTATGTCTTGATCAACAAGTTCCAAGCTTTCGTTGATGTTCCAGCATTCTTTTCCCATTCGAGTTCTTCAAGTTTGGGTCCCAGCTGCGCCGATTGTAAAGATCCATCGGCTCGTAATTTAAGACAAAGATATTATAATTTTATATGCGAATCGCGTATTTTAGTGAAATGTATTTTTGTATAAAGTGAATATGTACATACATAAATATATATTGAAATATGTTGCATTTAAATGCAGCAAACTATTTATGTACTCCTAATAATAGAACCAAGCGCAATTTAGGTCTAAGAACGAACTAGATCTAGATCTATGTGAATGTACTATGACTTTTGATAACACTGATTAAAAAATTTGTAAATACAATCAAATTAGTTTCTCATTTAATTTTTATTTATAAATTCATATGTTTACAAATAGTATGTAAATTAATTTTGTTGATTTGAAATCTCAAGATGCCTCTGTGAAAGTTGTCAAACATACGAAAATTATGAAAACTGAAACGTTTTATCGTATTCGTATTACTAATAGATGGCATCGAAAGAGAATATTAAAAGGAAGCTATTTTTTAATGTATAACAATAAATTCTCATCAAGTTCTCGGAATTTTTATCAACTTTTTTCCAAAATTAAAGGTAAAATTCATGGAAACCGAAAAGGAAACCAAAACTATCGACAATGTCTCCCGATTTGATTGCAACATCTGTCTGGGCACGGCCAAGAATGCGGTGATCTGTGTGTGTGGCCATCTCTTCTGTTGGTCCTGCCTGCATCTGTGGATGCTGACGCCCTGCGACCTGCGTCGATGCTGTCCGGTGTGTCGAGCCAAGTTGGATATCACGAAAATCATACCGCTCTATGGTCGCAACAGTGCGGTACAGGACGTCAACGATGTGATGGCACCGCGACCTCCGCCGCTGCGTCAAGAGCCGAGTGCACCGAGGGGTTCCCTCTATTTTGGCTTTCTACTGGGCTTTCAAACGTCCCTCGGCTACGGCAGCTTCCCAATTGAGACTATGGCATCCGTTCTGAATTTGAACGACGAACAGGCGCTGTTTTTATTTCTCGGCCTCTTTTGCATCGGCTGGCTGATGTTCTAGCGGAGGGAGAAATGAAATTCGAATAGACTTTTTGGATATTCTTATTATATTGTATATATATATACGTATAGGTCCAACTTCGTAATACAGCTGTTGTATGCCCTAATTAAGTAAATGGTAATCAGACCTTAAGTGCGTGTTTTGATTATTTTTTGTTTTTCAATTAATATGGATCAAAAATTATATCGAGTTATTCGTTTTAATCTAGATCATCATTTAATAATAATTGTCAACATTTGTTTGCTTACTTGTAATTAATTAATTTCGGTAAACTATATTTATTATGCACCATTTATTATATTCAATCAAGTAATCAGTATAATTATGATGTAATTATAATTATTCATGTAGTTGTATGCGATTTGTGTATGTATATGCTTTTATCATATTTACGTGCTGTTCTTTCTATATGTATATATATATATACTGTATATGATCGATCATTGCCTGCGTACAGCTTAAATTAAGATATTACAAAATATACGTTAGGTTCATTAAATATGTAGGCAATTAAGGAAGTTGGCGTTTCAAGGGGCCGGGAGTGGGGCGGTGTGGGCGGTTTAAGCGCCAGGGACGTTAACGGATAATAACTACATCGCAGAGATTGGCAGATTCATTCAGTCAAGCCTTTGTAAAAATATGCTGCTTGAACTAATTTAATCTGCGAGAACAATTTCTTATTTCAAAAACGTTTTCATTTATATATATATATGAGACATTTGCATGTGTGTGCGCTTAGGTGTGTATGCCTGTGGGTTTGTGTGGGTGTGTATGTGTAGGTGCCAATAGCTCCAGAGCGTCCAGGACAGTCAAGTCCATAAGACACTTCCTCACTCATCAATTTTTACTACAAGTCGAGTCTTACAAAAACGTCACATTGTTTCTTTTGTTGTATACGAGTGTGTGTGTGCATGCGAGTGTGTGTGCGTGTGTGAGTGGATGCCTATTTTTGGTTGATTTGTTGTGTTTCGATTTCGTTGCGTAAAGAGAAATGTAATCACTGTACAATAGAGCGACGGGGAACACTTTCGCCTAGCCAGGAGCAGACCTATGGGCCACACAAATATTTACGCTTCTGGTCATCCATATAATCGCGCGTAGACATTTGGATGGCTTGCTGCAGCATCTCGTTCTCATTGATGCCTGCAAGGAGTCGAAAGTAAGTAATTGCTATAAATTACAGTTAGCAATCGCTTGACCGACCGTCGTTGGCATAGGAGGCCTCTAGCAGCTCCTGATAAAAGCTCGAGTAGCTCTGCTTGGGCGGCGACTTGGTTTCCACGAGTTTGGGCGGTGACTGCGACGACTGCTTGGAGGTGCATGGCTGTTGCTCTGCTTCCGGAGTGCGTTCCCTAGCCACTGCTGGAGCAGCATCACGTTTCGGACTCTTACGCTGTGGCGTTTCATGTACATGTGTTTCCAAGCTACACGAATATATCAATGTGAGAGCAGTTGAGGGAGAGATGTGGTGGTAATTGTCTCTTACCTATTGCCAGGCTCGCGCACTTCATGGCGGCGTTTCTTGCTGTTGCGCAGGTTGTTGCTGCGACGCGGAGTTTTGGACAGTTTATTGGAGCGCTGCGATACGGCTGTGTTGGGCGAGGCATTGCCGCCACAGTGACCCACGGAGCTGGTGCTGCTCATATCAGTTGCGTCACTCTCGTAGCCGCCCAGCTCATTTACCTCGGGCGGCAGCTTGTGTGCGTACTGACCAAGTGTTTTAGGCGAGAGTGTATAAACGGTGGCCGGGCCATCGCCGATGCTGGAGCTGGTAATTGGGGCTGCTGTGTTGCTGTTGTTGTTACTACTGCCACCGCCACCGCCGCTGCCACCGCCATCACTCGAGTACTTGGAGGGCGAGGCGTCTGAGTCGGTGAGTGCCTCGGCCGAAGTCACAGTTGAAGATGTTGCCGAGCCGGCGGCTGTATTGTTGCTGCGCGAACGCTGCATATTATCACGGCACCATTGCAAATAAGACTCACGAGCGATTTGCTCCTCGATGGCCTCGTTGGTGGCTTCCCAGTCTGTTGTCTTCAGCTTGTCCTCAAACATTGTCTATGCAAGCAGAATACAAATATTATGGGAACTTAATTATTCATAGACGCAGTGGACACTGACCTGTTCAATTTCCAGCTGCTCGCTTAGGCGCACTGCCTCCTTGGTCTGAAACTCAGGCTTGTAACCAGCCAAGCCCAAGCCGACGCCCACGGTGGCATTATACGGATCCAGTATAGCATTGTAGTGGGAGCCTCGTTGATAGGACAAACGCAACGGCGGATAGCCAGCTTGTGATTGCTCTGAATTGAAGATGTTAATGGGGGCTGCAATCATCGAAAAGTGCGTTAGAATTAGGAGATTATTAGTACTATGAATTAGAGATGGTTGAAACATGATGGCGATAATATAATAATCGTATATTAGACTAATATTAATAAGCTGCTTGTACTCAGGTCATAGCTATTGTGTTCTCATTTATAAGTAACCATGTTAAATACCCCCATCCCCATCCCCCATCCACAGTCTTGGCGACAAAGGCCTAAAGCATGGATAACATCCTTAAAGCAGTCTAAAATGCTAACCATAGGGGTATATGATTGGGTCAGCGTATCTAATAACATTCTGTATAACACCTGGTATGATATTCACCCCCTTAAAATAATTAACACGTTTTAGTTCATGCGCTCAACTGCGACGCCGACTGCGCAATTTATGGGAAAATCATTGCTGATAATTTAGAAATGAGAACACGTGATTTGTTTACTCACTCGACTGATAACAGAAGACTTCGACGGTGCGACTGTAGATCTCTGATATGGCCTGAATCTCGATGTGATTGCCGTGTGCATCGCGGGCGCGCTTGCGTTGAATATACCCATTGATGTCCTCGGTGACAAACTGGCCAAAGTATTCGCGATTCTCATGCTATAAACAAAAATACAGACGAAATATTAAGATAAAAGACTTCGTGTTTAGAATATTTAAATATATTACTATATAGTCCATTGTGTGCTGCCGTATGACATCGTGCATTCCCTCATCTCCGTAAATCTGCAGAGAGATGGAGCGAAACAGGCAGGCCCCGTCTTCTTCCACTGCCCTCAGTTCGTAGCCGCGCTTCTCCATGCATTTGGCAAACTCTTCGTCGCGCCGTTTCCACTCTTCTACCGAAATAGTGCGCTCCTTCGGCTGCAAGTGCTCGTCGCCGCTATTGTAACCGGAGAATGTATCTTCGACGGCCTTCAGCATATTAGCTGCAGCAGCAGCCGGTGAAATCTGAGTTTGTGCGTTCGGCACATTGGCACAGCCCAAGCCCAGATGCTCTGGTGATTTGCGACCCACAGCTGTGGCATTGCTGCTGTTGACCGTTCCGGCAGCCACGGCAGCTCCGACTACTGAATGTGGACTGCTGCATTTGCTGCTGACGCCTGCAACTCCGCCACCAACTACAGTCCCATGATTTAGATTCAGCTTCTCACGGTCCAAACGATCACGTTTGTGATGGTGTGCATGGCCTTCATGGTGTTCGCGACGCTTCGAGCGGGAACTGTAATGCAAAAGAGATGGATAGGGATTAAATAAGGTTGAATAATACATCACATTGAGAATGATATAGCCAAACATACAAAATGATTTAATTTAAATGATGAATTTGGTTCGCTGCATTAAATAGAGTCTTCATTAAATATATACAAGATTTGGCTTTACAAATTTCAATAAATCAGTGTATAAAAAGTTCCTTCTTACCATCCTAATTTATGCAATAGCTATAAAGTTAAATATATATATATAACTTAAATAAAGAGCAATTTCAGGAAAAAGTAATTGAAGGTGATTTTGTATTGTATTAAATTATTGATTTTAATATTTCAACCTATATATGTTGTCTCCTATTTTCTTCTATATCGTATATCTTAGATCAAGAGATATGCTCAAAGAAACGAGTCCGTGAATATTAACCCCATCAAGACTTACCTTTTGTGTGGACTGCAGCGGTGTGTGCGTGTCAGTTCGTCGTAGACTTCGCCGCGTCGTTGTGGACTCTGCGGGCATTAATAAATTCAAATGTTAAATAATATGGTTATAGGTAACAATACAACACACACATACCTGGCCATGCCCATCGATGACAACATTGCGATGCGATTGATTGACAACCGATTGTTCGACGACCACTACCTGCCCAGAGACGTGAGTCTCGGTGGCATCCCCATCGACAACGCGCTTGCCACTCGGCGCACTGACTGGCTTGATGGTCATGCTTTGGCTTTAGCTGCTACTGCGGCAGCGGCTGGGGCTATTGTCTGTGAACTACCACGCAATACTTTAACGAGCTGCTCCAAACAAAGTCGTCGAATGTGAAAGCTTAACACATGTGTGAATGGCAAATTTGGTTTAGCTGTTTGGCCAGCTCAGAATTCGATTTTCTTCTCCGTCTATATATAATACAGACATATATATTTGTATTTATATAAACATATATATTTATACATATATATGAATATCTATGTATGGGGCAACACTTTCACAGCAAGTTCTTTGTCCGTGTGGCAAAGGATTCCCTTGCTTCTGATGCACGCACTTGTTTAATTCTCTACTTTTTTTTTGTTTATATTATTTATTTTTGTTATTGTTGTTATGGATGTGACTGCTGCTCTCAAAAAAGTTGATTTACTTTTATATTTAGACGCACAACTATGAAATCATATACATAGCCAGAGTAAATGGTGAAAATTTTGTGATTTTCATTTGATTGTGTGTGTATGTAAGTGCGTATGTGTAGTGTTTGCTCGCAATCGCCTTTGTCTCTTGCACTGTTGCAGAGACGATTAATAAAATACGTCGCTTCGCCCAGTTGTATAATTACATACGCTGCACTCCAGGGAAGACCACCAATTTCATAGTTTATAAAACTATTTGCACAAATTATTATTCTTTTTTTTTTTTGGTTGTTTTGTTTTGTTGTTAGAAACGTAAAAGCCAGGATAGTCTGTTCGATTTTTTATTTACACCAACTACGAACTTGTCAGATGCGCACGTTGTGCTTCTTCTTGCTTCTTTGGTGTTTTTTAGGCATTTTTAATAAGTCAGCTTGTCACGACATACGACGAACATCTGATGAATATCATACTGACCGCCAGTGTTGCCATACTAGCCTTATTCTGGTACATTTTTAGCTATAATTAATTACAACGTTCTGTTGATCATAAAAAAGCTAATAGTCAGTATTTAAATTATAAAAAAAAAAAAAAAAAAACACTTTAATACTTATTTTACTCAATTCAAATTAATGCTTTATTTCTATGCTAACAATTTAACGTTGGGCAAAGAACATTAACCTAAGGCAAACAATATTCTGAGATGTATTTAATTTAAGAAATAAATTTAAACTGAGAATTTCATTGTACTGACTATATTTATAAACAAATATTTAAACAAATGTGCTTCCGTATATTTTTCTTCTAATAATAATTAACAGAATATAAAATCCAAATAACAGTTGAGCTAATATTGTCTCCGTTAAATTTGCACATTATTTAAATTTATTGATTTAACATAGCGTGTTTTTAAAAAAAATATATATCGAGCATTTTTACTAAATTGCCTTTAATTAAAAAGAGCGTTATTATATTGATTTGCACATATGTATATATATTTGATAAGTTTAGAATAACAGAGCTGTCAACATTTGATTTAAAAAGGACCAAAAATATTAGTTAACATATTGACCATTCCAAACATTGGCGCCCCATCCATTTCCATAATAACCCCATGCCGGTCTGGCTCCTATCCATTGATCCTGTGTTCCCCACCAGTAGGGATATTGTCCTATACCGTAACGTGCGCCACCTCGAACCGCGAACTTTCCAGCTTTAATATGAGCTCTTCCTGATTCAACGGATCTTTGACCCCTTTCAATAACTTTACCAATAAGTCCTGGCAAAACAGGCTGGGTATCTATTAAACTAGACCCAAACACATCTGTCTTACTTCGGGCGTCATCATTAACTTTTGTAGTAGATCCAGATTGACTATTTTCGATATTGGTGTCTCTGGAAATTACCGTTACAACGGGCTCGACTGATGCGGTAGTTTTCTTAGTTGTTGTTGTTTTCGACGTTGAAAGGGAGCCAGACTTAATGTTTCCGGAGGTAGTCTCTCCTAAAATTACTTTCACGACGGGATCAACTAATGTGACAGTTTTTTTAGTAGTCGTAGTAGTTGTTGTTGAAGAGGATCCAGATTGGCTGTTTCCAGATATCACTTTCACGGCAGGCTTCGCAGAAGAGCCAGACTTAGTAGTGGTCGTGGTAGTCTTCGTCTCAGAGGATCCAGATTGGCTGTTTCCAGAAGTCTCTTTCACGGCAGCCTTCGCTGAAGAGCCAGACTTAGTAGTGGTCGTCGTAGTCTTCGTCTCAGAGGACCCAGACTGACTGTTTCCGGTAGCGACTTTCACGGCAGGCTCAACTGATGGGCCAGTTTTCTTAGTGACAGTGGTCGTCGTAGTCTTCGTCTCCGAGGATCCAGATTGGCTGTTTCCGGAAACGACTTTCACGGCAGGTTCAACTGATGGGCCAGTTTTCTTAGTGACAGTGGTCGTCGTAGTCTTCGTCTCAGAGGACCCAGACTGACTGTTTCCGGTAACGACTTTCACGGCAGGCTTCGCTGAAGAGCCAGACTTAGTAGTGGTCGTCGTAGTCTTCGTCTCAGAGGATCCAGATTGGCTGTTTCCAGAAGTCTCTTTCACGGCAGCCTTCGCTGAAGAGCCAGACTTAGTAGTGGTCGTCGTAGTCTTCGTCTCAGAGGATCCAGATTGGCTGTTTCCAGAAGCCTCTTTCACGGCAGGCTTCGGTGAAGAGCCAGACTTAGTAGTGGTCGTCGTAGTCTTCGTCTCAGAGGACCCAGATTGACTGTTTCCGGAAACGACTTTCACGGCAGGCTCAACTGATGGGCCAGTTTTCTTAGTGACAGTGGTCGTCGTAGTCTTCGTCTCCGAGGATCCAGATTGGCTGTTTCCGGAAACGACTTTCACGGCAGGTTCAACTGATGGGCCAGTTTTCTTAGTGACAGTGGTCGTCGTAGTCTTCGTCTCAGAGGACCCAGACTGACTGTTTCCGGAAACGACTTTCACGGCAGGTTCAACTGATGGGCCAGTTTTCTTAGTGACAGTGGTCGTCGTAGTCTTCGTCTCAGAGGACCCAGACTGACTGTTTCCGGTAACGACTTTCACGGCAGGCTTCGCTGAAGAGCCAGACTTAGTAGTGGTCGTCGTAGTCTTCGTCTGAGAGGATCCAGATTGGCTGTTTCCAGAAGTCTCTTTCACGGCAGCCTTCGCTGAAGAGCCAGACTTAGTAGTGGTCGTCGTAGTCTTCGTCTCAGAGGATCCAGATTGGCTGTTTCCAGAAGCCTCTTTCACGGCAGGCTTCGGTGAAGAGCCAGACTTAGTAGTGGTCGTCGTAGTCTTCGTCTCAGAGGACCCAGATTGACTGTTTCCGGAAACGACTTTCACGGCAGGCTCAACTGATGGGCCAGTTTTCTTAGTGACAGTGGTCGTCGTAGTCTTCGTCTCCGAGGATCCAGATTGGCTGTTTCCGGAAACGACTTTCACGGCAGGTTCAACTGATGGGCCAGTTTTCTTAGTGACAGTGGTCGTCGTAGTCTTCGTCTCAGAGGACCCAGACTGACTGTTTCCGGTATCGACTTTCACGGCAGGCTTCGCTGAAGAGTCAGACTTAGTAGTGGTCGTCGTAGTCTTCGTCTCAGAGGATCCAGATTGGCTGTTTCCAGAAGTCTCTTTCACGGCAGCCTTCGCTGAAGAGCCAGACTTAGTAGTGGTCGTCGTAGTCTTCGTCTCAGAGGATCCAGATTGGCTGTTTCCAGAAGTCTCTTTCACGGCAGGCTTCGGTGAAGAGCCAGACTTAGTAGTGGTCGTCGTAGTCTTCGTCTCAGAGGACCCAGATTGACTGTTTCCGGAAACGACTTTCACGGCAGGCACAACTGATGGGCCAGTTTTCTTAGTGACAGTGGTCGTCGTAGTCTTCGTCTCCGAGAATCCAGATTGGCTGTTTCCGGAAACGACTTTCACGGCAGGTTCAACTGATGGGCCAGTTTTCTTAGTGACAGTGGTCGTCGTAGTCTTCGTCTCAGAGGACCCAGACTGACTGTTTCCGGTAACGACTTTCACGGCAGGTTTCGCTGAAGAGTCAGACTTAGTAGTGGTCGTCGTAGTCTTCGTCTCAGAGGACCCAGATTGGCTGCTTCCAGAAGTCTCTTTCACGGCAGCCTTCGCTGAAGAGCCAGACTTAGTAGTGGTCGTCGTAGTCTTCGTCTCAGAGGACCCAGACTGACTGTTTCCGGAAACGACTTTCACGGCAGGTTCAACTGATGGGCCAGTTTTCTTAGTGACAGTGGTTGTGGTAGTCGTTGTCGATGATCCAGATTGGCTGTTTCCAGAAGTCTCTTTCACGGCAGGTTTCGCTGAAGAGTTAGACTTAGTAGTGGTCGTCGTAGTCTTCGTCTCAGAGGACCCAGATTGGCTGCTTCCAGAAGTCTCTTTCACGGCAGCCTTCGCTGAAGAGCCAGACTTAGTAGTGGTCGTCGTAGTCTTCGTCTCAGAGGACCCAGACTGACTGTTTCCGGAAACGACTTTCACGGCAGGTTCAACTGATGGGCCAGTTTTCTTAGTGACAGTGGTCGTCGTAGTCTTCGTCTCAGAGGATCCAGATTGGCTGTTTCCGGAAACGACTTTCACGGCAGGTTCAACTGATGGGCCAGTTTTCTTAGTGACAGTGGTTGTGGTAGTCGTTGTCGAGGATCCAGATTGGCTGTTTCCAGAAGTCTCTTTCACGGCAGGCTTCGCTGAAGAGCCAGACTTAGTAGTGGTCGTCGTAGTCTTCGTCTCAGAGGATCCAGATTGGCTGTTTCCGGAAACGACTTTCACGGCAGGTTCAACTGATGGGCCAGTTTTCTTAGTGACAGTGGTCGTCGTAGTCTTCGTCTCAGAGGACCCAGACTGACTGTTTCCGGTAACGACATTTACGGCAGGCTTCGCTGAAGAGCCAGACTTAGTAGTAGTAGTGGTGGTTTTTGTCTCAGAGAATCCAGATTGGCTGTTTCCAGAAGTCTCTTTCACGGCAGGCTTCGCTGATGAGCCAGACTTAGTAGTGGTCGTCGTAGTCTTCGTCTCAGAGGACCCAGACTGACTGTTTCCGGTAGCGACTTTCACGGCAGGCTTCGTTGAAGAGTCAGACTTAGTAGTGGTCGTCGTAGTCTTCGTCTCAGAGGATCCAGATTGGCTGTTTCCGGAAACGACATTTGCGGCAGGCTTCGCTGATGAGCCAGACTTAGTAGTAGTAGTGGTGGTTTTGGTCTCTGAGAATCCAGATTGGCTGTTTCCAGAAGTCTCTTTCACGGCAGGCTTCGCTGAAGAGCCAGACTTAGTAGTGGTCGTCGTAGTCTTCGTCTCAGAGGATCCAGATTGGCTGTTTCCAGAATTCTCTTTCACGGCAGGCTTCGCTGATGAGCCAGACTTAGTAGTGGTCGTCGTAGTCTTCGTCTCAGAGGATCCAGATTGGCTGTTTCCGGAAACGACATTTACGGCAGGCTTCGCTGAAGAGCCAGACTTAGTAGTGGTCGTCGTAGTCTTCGTCTCAGAGGACCCAGGCTGACTGTTTCCGGTAGCGACTTTCACGGCAGGCTTCGCTGAAGAGTCAGACTTAGTAGTGGTCGTCGTAGTCTTCGTCTCAGAGGACCCAGGCTGACTGTTTCCGGTAGCGACTTTCACGGCAGGCTTCGCTGAAGAGTCAGACTTAGTAGTGGTCGTCGTAGTCTTCGTCTCAGAGGATCCAGATTGGCTGTTTCCAGAATTCTCTTTCACGGCAGCCTTCGCTGATGAGCCAGACTTAGTAGTGGTCGTCGTAGTCTTCGTCTCAGAGGATCCAGATTGGCTGTTTCCGGAAACGACATTTACGGCAGGCTTCGCTGATGAGCCAGACTTAGTAGTAGTAGTGGTGGTTTTGGTCTCTGAGAATCCAGATTGGCTGTTTCCAGAAGTCTTTTTCACGGCAGGCTTCGCTGAAGAGCCAGACTTAGTAGTGGTCGTCGTAGTCTTCGTCTCAGAGGATCCAGATTGGCTGTTTCCAGAATTCTCTTTCACGGCAGCCTTCGCTGATGAGCCAGACTTAGTAGTGGTCGTCGTAGTCTTCGTCTCAGAGGATCCAGATTGGCTGTTTCCAGAATTCTCTTTCACGGCAGCCTTCGCTGATGAGCCAGACTTAGTAGTGGTCGTCGTAGTCTTCGTCTCAGAGGATCCAGATTGGCTGTTTCCGGAAACGACATTTACGGCAGGCTTCGCTGATGAGCCAGACTTAGTAGTAGTAGTGGTGGTTTTGGTCTCTGAGAATCCAGATTGGCTGTTTCCAGAAGTCTTTTTCACGGCAGGCTTCGCTGAAGAGCCAGACTTAGTAGTGGTCGTCGTAGTCTTCGTCTCAGAGGATCCAGATTGGCTGTTTCCAGAATTCTCTTTCACGGCAGGCTTCGCTGATGAGCCAGACTTAGTAGTGGTCGTCGTAGTCTTCGTCTCAGAGAACCCAGATTGGCTGTTTCCGGAAACGACTTTCACGGTAGGTTCAACTGATGAGCCAGTTTTCTTAGTGGCAGTGGTTGTGGTAGTCGTTGTCGAGGATCCAGATTGGCTGTTTCCAGAAGTCTCTTTTACGGCAGGCTTCGCTGATGAGCCAGACTTAGTAGTGGTCGTCGTAGTCTTCGTCTCAGAGGATCCAGATTGGCTGTTTCCGGAAACGACATTCACGGCTGGCTTCGCTGATGAGCCAGACTTAGTAGTGGTCGTCGTAGTCTTCGTCTCAGAGGATCCAGATTGGCTGTTTCCGGAAACGACATTTACGGCAGGCTTCGCTGATGAGCCAGACTTAGTAGTGGTCGTCGTAGTCTTCGTCTCAGAGAACCCAGATTGGCTGTTTCCGGAAACGACTTTCACGGTAGGTTCAACTGATGAGCCAGTTTTCTTAGTGGCAGTGGTTGTGGTAGTCGTTGTCGAGGATCCAGATTGGCTGTTTCCAGAAGTCTCTTTCACGGCAGGCTTCGCTGAAGAGCCAGACTTAGTAGTGGTCGTCGTAGTCTTCGTCTCAGAGAACCCAGATTGGCTGTTTCCGGAAACGACTTTCACGGCAGGTTCAACTGATGGGCCAGTTTTCTTAGTGACAGTGGTGGTGGTTGTCGTTGTCGAGGATCCAGATTGGGTTTTTCCAGAAGTCTCTTTCACGGCAGGCTTCGCTGATGAGCCAGACTTAGTAGTGGTCGTCGTAGTCTTCGTCTCAGAGAACCCAGATTGGCTGTTTCCGGAAACGACTTTCACGGCAGGTTCAACTGATGGGCCAGTTTTCTTAGTGACAGTGGTGGTGGTTGTCGTTGTCGAGGATCCAGATTGGGTTTTTCCAGAAGTCTCTTTCACGGCAGGCTTCGCTGATGAGCCAGACTTAGTAGTGGTCGTCGTAGTCTTCGTCTCAGAGGACCCAGATTGGCTGTTTCCAGAAGTCTCTTTCACGGCAGGCTTCGCTGAAGAGCCAGACTTAGTAGTGGTCGTCGTAGTCTTCGTCTCAGAGGATCCAGATTGGCTGTTTCCGGAAACGACTTTCACGGTAGGTTCAACTGATGGGCCAGTTTTCTTAAAGACAGTGGTCGTCGTAGTCTTCGTCTCAGAGGACACAGACTGACTGTTTCCGGTAACGACTTTCACGGCAGGTTTCGCTGAAGAGTCAGACTTAGTAGTGGTCGTCGTAGTCTTCGTCTCAGAGGACCCAGATTGGCTGTTTCCAGAAGTCTCTTTCACGGCAGGCTTCGCTGAAGAGCCAGACTTAGTAGTGGTCGTCGTAGTCTTCGTCTCAGAGGATCCAGATTGGCTGTTTCCGGAAACGACATTTACGGCAGGCTTCGCTGATGAGCCAGACTTAGTAGTAGTAGTGGTGGTTTTGGTCTCTGAGAATCCAGATTGGCTGTTTCCAGAAGTCTTTTTCACGGCAGGCTTCGCTGAAGAGCCAGACTTAGTAGTGGTCGTCGTAGTCTTCGTCTCAGAGGATCCAGATTGGCTGTTTCCAGAATTCTCTTTCACGGCAGGCTTCGCTGATGAGCCAGACTTAGTAGTGGTCGTCGTAGTCTTCGTCTCAGAGAACCCAGATTGGCTGTTTCCGGAAACGACTTTCACGGCAGGTTCAACTGATGGGCCAGTTTTCTTAGTGACAGTGGTGGTGGTTGTCGTTGTCGAGGATCCAGATTGGGTTTTTCCAGAAGTCTCTTTCACGGCAGGCTTCGCTGATGAGCCAGACTTAGTAGTGGTCGTCGTAGTCTTCGTCTCAGAGGACCCAGATTGGCTGTTTCCAGAAGTCTCTTTCACGGCAGGCTTCGCTGAAGAGCCAGACTTAGTAGTGGTCGTCGTAGTCTTCGTCTCAGAGGATCCAGATTGGCTGTTTCCGGAAACGACTTTCACGGTAGGTTCAACTGATGGGCCAGTTTTCTTAAAGACAGTGGTCGTCGTAGTCTTCGTCTCAGAGGACACAGACTTACTGTTTCCGGTAACGACTTTCACGGCAGGTTTCGCTGAAGAGTCAGACTTAGTAGTGGTCGTCGTAGTCTTCGTCTCAGAGGACCCAGATTGGCTGTTTCCAGAAGTCTCTTTCACGGCAGGCTTCGCTGAAGAGCCAGACTTAGTAGTGGTCGTCGTAGTCTTCGTCTCGGAGGATCCAGATTGGCTGTTTCCGGAAACGACTTTCACGGTAGGTGCAACTGATGGGCCAGTTTTCTTAGTGACAGTGGTCGTCGTAGTCTTCGTCTCCGAGGACCCGGATTGGCTGTTTCCGGAAACGACTTTCACGGCAGGTTCAACTGATGAGCCAGACTTAGTAGTGGTCGTCGTAGTCTTCGTCTCAGAGGACCCAGATTGGCTGTTTCCGGAAACGACTTTCACGGCAGGTTCAACTGATGGGCCAGTTTTCTTAGTGACAGTGGTTGTGGTAGTCGTTGACGAGGATCCAGTCTGGTTGTTTCCGGAAACGACTTTTACGGCAGGTTCAACTGATGAGCCAGACTTAGTAGTGGTCGTCGTAGTCTTCGTCTCAGAGGACCCAGATTGGCTGTTTCCGGAAACGACTTTCACGGCAGGTTCAACTGATGAGCCAGACTTAGTAGTGGTCGTCGTAGTCTTCGTCTCAGAGGACCCAGATTGGCTGTTTCCGGAAACGACTTTCACGGTAGGTTCAACTGATGAGCCAGTTTTCTTAGTGACAGTGGCTGTGGTAGTCGTTGACGAGGATCCAGATTGGGTTTTTTCAGAAGTCTCTTTCACGGCAGGCTTCGCTGAAGAGCCAGACTTAGTAGTGGTCGTCGTAGTCTTCGTCTCCGAGGACCCGGATTGGCTGTTTCCGGAAACGACTTTCACGGCAGGTTCAACTGATGGGCCAGTTTTCTTAGTGACAGTGGTTGTCGTAGTCTTCGTCTCAGAGGACCCAGACTGACTGTTTCCGGTAACGAGTTTCACGGCTGGCTTCGCTGATGAGCCAGACTTAGTAGTGGTCGTCGTAGTCTTCGTCTCAGAGGACCCAGATTGGCTGTTTCCGGAAACGACTTTCACGGCAGGTTCAACTGATGGGCCAGTTTTCTTAGTGACAGTGGTCGTCGTAGTCTTCGTCTCAGAGGATCCAGATTGGCTGTTTCCGGAAACGACTTTTACGGCAGGTTCAACTGATGAGCCAGACTTAGTAGTGGTCGTCGTAGTCTTCGTCTCAGAGGACCCAGATTGGCTGTTTCCGGAAACGACTTTCACGGCAGGTTCAACTGATGGGCCAGTTTTCTTAGTGACAGTGGTTGTGGTAGTCGTTGACGAGGATCCAGTCTGGTTGTTTCCGGAAACGACTTTTACGGCAGGTTCAACTGATGAGCCAGACTTAGTAGTGGTCGTCGTAGTCTTCGTCTCAGAGGACCCAGATTGGCTGTTTCCGGAAACAACTTTCACGGCAGGCTCAACTGATGGGCTAGTTTTCTTAGTGACAGTGGTCGTCGTAGTCTTCGTCTCAGAGGATCCAGATTGGCTGTTTCCGGAAACGACTTTTACGGCAGGTTCAACTGATGAGCCAGACTTAGTAGTGGTCGTCGTAGTCTTCGTCTCAGAGGACCCAGATTGGCTGTTTCCAGAAGTCTCTTTCACGGCAGGCTTCGCTGAAGAGCCAGACTTAGTAGTGGTCGTCGTAGTCTTCGTCTCAGAGGACCCAGATTGGCTGTTTCCAGAAGTCTCTTTCACGGCAGGCTTCGCTGAAGAGCCAGACTTAGTAGTGGTCGTCGTAGTCTTCGTCTCAGAGGACCCAGATTGGCTGTTTCCGGAAACGACTTTCACGGCAGGTTCAACTGATGGGCCAGTTTTCTTAGTGACAGTGGTCGTCGTAGTCTTCGTCTCAGAGGACTCAGATTGGCTGTTTCCGGAATCAACTTTTACGGCAGGCTTTGCTGAAGAGCCAGACTTAGTAGTGGTCGTCGTAGTCTCCGTCTCAAAGGATTTAGATTCGCTGTTTCCGGAATCGACTTTCACTGCAGGTTCAACTGATGAGTTAGTTTTCTTAGTGTTATTAGTTGTGGTAGTTGTCTCGGAGGATCCAGACTGCTTTTTGGAAGTCACTTTCATGACAGGATCGACTATTGAGCGTGTTTTCTTAGAGGTGGTTGTTGTTGTAGTTGAAATAGGTCCTGATTTGATGATTGCGGTGTTCGTCTCTGCGGAAATCACTTTCACGGCGGATTCAACTAAAGAGCTCGTTTGCTTAGAGTTGGTCGTAGTCGTAGATGATCTAGACTGGGTGTTTCCGGTATTAGTGACTTCGGAAACCACCTTTGCGATGGAATCGCCTGAGGTGGTCGACTTCACATCACTCCGCTCCGCAGTTCTATGATTATGCGGAATAGTGCTTCTTATATCGTTAATGATCGAGTCAAATTGAATTGTATTCTGTTGTACAGACTCTTCGCCTGTCGAAGTTATCTGATTATTTGAGCAGTTTGCACGTTTATCGTTTTCCACAATCAATCTACCGAATAACCTATCCAAGAGCCATAACCGAATATCTTTCCGAATCTCCAATAGAGTTTGTCGAACACTTTCACAACACGGAACGTTAGCTGCTGCAGACTGTGGCTTCACTGCTTCGGCGCTTACTGCCGTCTCCGTTGGGATATGCGCACCGTATGCGAGTGCCACGCAGGCGCCCAAAAGGGCAATACAAAATATACGCATTGTCTACCAATAACTCAAACTCCCAACTTCATCTGTTGGCTTCTGTGGCAGCAGAGCTGCTTTTATACCTTAGCAGAAGATAGAAGTTTGTTGTCTTTTCTATAATTTAGGTATTTACTTTTCTGCAGTTAATCAAATTTCGCATTGTGCCAAAACATTTGGCAATTCTATTGTTCCACTAGCGATGTCGAAAAATAACTTGTTAATACTGAAGCTCATACTTTAGAGAGAAAAGAATTAAACACCTGTATAAAATATTTGCTTAGAGCTTAGATTAAATAGACTGTCAGACTTTCTTGGGTGTACGATGTACGTAAATTAAATGTGTATTTTGGCCAAGACGTCAAATGTGCTGCAATTACCAAATAACACGAGTATGAAGAGCGTGTCTCAAAGACATTTTAAATTTATTCATTCATTCATTTATTCATTTATTCATTTTAAATTTATGTATACATAGATATATATATATAGGGTTTAAAAATATCCAAGAGTGACATGAAACATCTCATTCCGAATTAGTATTCATCCTTCTCAAATGGATGGTGTGGATGACCGTGTTGACTGTAAAAATAAGCACAATTTTCCATATTAGAAGGCAATTAATTATGAAATATATAGGAAAAGAAACACAAAATTAAGACTGTTAGCCAAACTAAGCAAAAAATAAACATGTTGTTAGTAAGGGAAACTCTAATATACAAACATTATCTACTATGTATTTCATTTGCTGTAGTGTAATTAATAGCATTCCAATCTAATAAGTAATACAAAATGGGATTGGAGTTCAACAAAAGCGCTTTAAAGCCTGGTAAACAAAATATTAAAATAAAAGAAAAACGAGAAAGTAAACACAAACAAATAGGCCGTAATAAAGGGTTTAAACATACGTATATGCCTCTCGAATTGCTCAGTTGTTAGTTCTTGCCAGAAATATTTACATAACTATTTGATTATGTGATTATTCATATTTCAGATATTCCTCTCATTTATATAGATTGAAAGAACTCTGCGATTTGATTTAATATTCATCGCTAAATGGATAATGTTCATGATCGCCAGCATCCCTAAATAAGCAAGTCAAATGACAAATATTCAAATTAAACAAAGTTTTCAATAAATAAATAATCTAAAATATTATACATAGAGGTGTGTAATGAAAAAAAAAAGAAATAAAAATAAACAAAAAGTAGTTCAGACTTAGCTGGTCAATAGATCTTAGTAGTAGATCGTAGTCTTTTGAGATCTGAATGTGAATCTCAAATATAGTTGAAACATATGCCGAAATAAAAGATTTTAAAAGTTGACTTAGAGAGAAGCAGAAGTTTTTGTCAATACCACCGTAACGCTCTTTACGACCTGTTTCTGCACCTTAATATTTAACTCTTAATAATCCGATCAAGCCATTTTTATGGGACATGTGAAATACTTACTTAAGCAGCGGTACCAGACGTCCATTGCATTCGAAGCTTTCAATTATTTCGATCTCTTGGGGCGTGAGTTCGAAATCAAATACTTTGAAATTGGATTCAATACGCTCCTTAGTTACCGACTTGGGTATAACAATGTGATTCCGTTGAATCTGATAGCGTATCAAAATCTGTCCGGGTGTCTTGTTTTTGGCAGCAGCAATTTCCTTGATCTAGAAGATTTTAGAGGTTGCTCAGTTAGTTCCTTTAGTTGAGCTATCTAAACCTATTTTACCTTTTTCTCTTCTAGAATAACCGGATCACCTTCCTTGGCCCATGGGCGATTTGGGCTGCCCAGTGGGCTGTATGCGGTAATGGTAATGTTATTCTGTTTGCAGAATTCAGAAAGTTTCTTCTGCGTCAAATAGGGATGGCATTCGATCTGATTTGTAGCTGGGGGAATTTTGGCAACAGCCAAAACTCGTTCGATTTGCTTTTTATTGAAATTCGATACGCCAATGGATTTAACAAGACCCTCCTCAACCAGCTTCTCCATGGCCTTCCAGGTGTCAACGTAATCGTCGGGCGAGTACAAAGTTTTGCCATTTGCATCAACTGGGAACAGTTCGGAGCCCTCCTTATAACCCATGGGCCAGTGGATCAAGTACAGATCCAGATATTTCAGCTTCAACAGATTCAAAGTATTCTGACAAGCAGCTTTGACCACATCTGGACGATGGAAGGTGTTCCACAACTTGCTTGTAATGAACAGATCCTCGCTGGAAGAATTATTGGGATAGGAAAAGTATTAATATACGGCATACATACATAACGGCATACTTACCGCTTTACCACGCCTTCTTTGATCTTGGCCTCGATGCCAGCACCGACTTCAGCTTCATTTTGATAGACAAAGGCGCAATCAATGTGCCTATATCCAACATCAATGGCCGTCTTAACCGCCTCAGCCACTTGACCAGGAGGACTCTAAAAGCAAAACAAAGTTTGACACATAAGTATGACCAATGGGCAGAAGGTTAGGGGGGATTTACTAATTAATCTTTAAGATTACGTCTACAATATATAAATTTTATGGGATAATGAAACTTAGGCTGTCTATGCCTTATCAGCATATATTTCAATTTTACAATTTTAAAAAACATTATTTATATTAATACAAAATCAAAAGTACAATTAAATGTTGAACTGGCTTTTTTGACTATTCGACCTCTAAGCAAAAACATATAGTTATTAACTTTATATTAAGAGCGTTGAAGAGAGACTTAATGAAATGTGTAGATAAGCACATTTATCAGTTTTGGTTTCGTCCGGCGTCTACTGATTTATAAGTACACTTCAGTTGTACAACATAATTTATCAAATCGTGATGTCGCATTTTTGAAAACTTTCCATTAGTTATTTAATCAGACAAGAGGTCACCTTGGTGTAAGAGTGTGTAAATAACTCAGTTCACATAGATGTCAGTAATAGAACATAGCTGGAGGTCTCATTATCGACTCTTATCGCATTTGTAATTCGCGCACACATCACACCCACACAAACATATGTATATACATAAATACATATGTATGTATATCGCAGCCGGCAAATGCCGCTCCCGGCTAATTATCAAATGCAAGTTCTTTGCCTTCTCTTTCTAAATTTGCCAACACGCAAAAAAAAAAAAATAGAAAGAAAAAAAAATGGCGGAAGTCGTGGGCAGTTGGAACTTGCTATTGTTGGATATGTATTCATATTTAAGCAAGCTAGAACTATAACTATAACTGTACTTAACTTACATTCCAGGTTCCAAGACCAAGTATGGGAATACTATGGCCACTGTTCAGCTTAACGGTCGGCACTGTGCTAGCCATTGCGATTGGTTCCTGCTTGATTGATTTTTTTTTAAAGGATTGTATAAATATATTAATTAATATATACTTTCTGGTTACTTTAAATATAAATGGTTAAAATAACACTGAGCACCACCACACAGCTGTTCGCCGCTTTTATATATGCTCATTGGCCGGCGGCCAAACGAAAGCTTTGCCAAGCTTACGAAAAGCTCGAGGTCTGCATTCAAATATACATCGATGCCTTTGTGTGATCTTTAAAAATATCGATAGATATCGAATGAAAATGTAAATTTGAATTAAACTGTTATATTTGCAAGCTTTGCAGCTTTCTCTCAGTGCGTGTTTAATCATATATATTTCGGTTTATTTTGGTAAAACTTAATAAAGCAATTTGCTTACACACATACATTTCCCACATAGGTTCCAATTCCAGGAATGGATTTTTGATTCCCATCCGCGAAAACTGCCTTAAGCACATCTTCTGCAACATCTTGACGCCTGATTTCAGATCTCTTAAAAACATTTCTTATATTTAATTTAGTTTACGTTACCACATGGAGTATTCTGGGTTTGTATATCTTCTTATTGCGATTAGAATTTGAGCTTCAGTTAATCGAATAGTATATCTTAAGCAGTTGAGCATCACACACAAATTAATTTAAAAGCTGACGTTTTCCCTACGCTTCTACTTCAATGATCGATTAATGCCAAAATTTGCAACGATTACTTAGGTTTATTATATAAAAAAGAGCATTATGAAAATATATATTAAGGCAAAAAGAAGCATATTTAGAAAACCAAAAGAGATCTGGAATATATTTGTTTAAAAAATGTCATTGTTTCACAAAAAACTTAATAGTCTAATTTATTGCCTTTGGCCGAATATATCAATCAGACATAGGACGCCAGGTACACGTATGATTTGTTGCATCCGAATTATACATTTCTGTTGTGGTTTTCCATTTGCTTTGCGGAATCCAGTTCGAACGGGTGATGAGGATGTCCATATGCAGCTTTCATGGTCATGAAGCGACCATTGCAATCGAGATCGTCAATTGCTTGTAAATCATCGTTATCCAAACCAAAGTCCCATATCTTCTTAAAGTTCTCGTACATGTGATGTTTGCTAATAGAGCGTGGTATAACAATAATGCCCGATTGAGTCTGATAGCGCAGCAGCACCTGCGCTGGTGTACGGTCATACTTTTCCGCGATCTCCAGGATCACAGGATGCTTTAGCAAGGGATAGGCACCCGGCTTCTCGTAGGGTGTGTGTGCCGATCCCAGTGAACTGTAGGCAGTGACAGCAATAGCATTATCGTAGCAAAGTGTTATCAAAGACTTCTGACGTAGATACGGATGACATTCGATCTGTAGCACCACTGGCTTCAATTTGGCTACGCTCAATAGTCGATTAATCTGTTGCTCATTAAAATTAGAGACTCCAATGGCATGGCATAGGCCGGCATCGACCAGGTTCTCCATGGCCTTCCACGTGTCCACGAAGTCAATATCCTCAAATACTGCCTTGCCCGTATCCGGGCAAGTGGGATAAAGAACGTCGCCGGATTTATATGCCATTGGCCAATGCATGAGATATAGATCAAGATAATCAACGCCAAGGTTACGTATACTTGTTTCACAAGCAGTCCGCACCAAATCTGGCCTGTGATGGGTATTCCAAAGTTTACTTGTAATGAAAAGCTGGTCACTGCGTGGATTTTACATATGATTAAAATCAGATATAGATTTGTTTATAATATTGCTTGTCTCTACCGTGTTACGACTCCCTCTTTGAGCTTTTCGGCAATTGCTGCGCCAATTTGTGCCTCATTTCCGTAGATGTGGGCGCAGTCAAAGTGGCGATAACCAATATCAATAGCATCCTTCACCGCTTGTGTGATAACCTCAGGAGGGCTCTACAAAGGATTGAAGCGAAAAAGATAACTTTCAGTATAAGTACAACAATTTGGTTCGGCTAGCTCTCTCGCTCTCTCTCTCTCTCTTTCTCTATTTCAAGAATTCTTAACAAACAACAAAGCAGTTGATGTCCATAAGTGTGAGACAGATGACCGCTCTTCTTTATTCTTTCTTATTTAAACTATTGCGCTCAAAATATGACCAAGCTCTTCGTATTCATATACTAACACACATGCATGCACGCAATATGCACCCCAATTATACGCATACAATAATTTTGGTGCACGTTTTTACTTGCAGTGCTTTGAAAGTTCTTCAAAGCTCGCTCTCTGGTTAGTGCTCTCACACTGACATTGGGAGCCGCGCAGGCTGCGTTGCATTGCCTCGTATATTTTGCCGCTTTATTGTGATTATTCAATAGTACGATGGATGATACTTACACGCCATGTGCCCAAGCCGACCATTGGCATATTTTTGCCATTACTCAAAAGGAAATTCGGAGTGGACATATCTATTAGAAGGACTGAAGATATTAGATTATTTTGAACCGTATTTGTATACCATTTACCGAAAGTAAACGCGAAGAGAAAACCCTATTAATTTTGCTACAAACTAATAAAAGTGACAGCTTTTAAAAATACAAACAGGCAAACGAACATGCAGTGTTCAAATTTAGAAACGTTCTAGCAACCAAAGCTGTTTTTACTATCTTGACCTTCAGAATCTGGTAAAATTCTTGTCTGCCAATGAAAGAATATTTCTCTTTTAAAATGCGGTTATTTTTAAGAAAATGTCAAATAATCCTCGTGTGCACACACTGGCCTTAAGCGATAGTTGTGATATATCGATAACTATATTTTTGCATACCCACATAACACATCTCTGTTATGTTTGCCGGCCATCTGTAAAAAATATCAACAAATCGCATTTTAATAATCTTGTAGCTTACCTCTTATTTATCATTGAAATATGTTTGGCTCTGTGAATAATTATCTCTCCGGGGTGTTGCGTGCTGCTGAGGATTATGATGGCGAAAACTTAGGCACCTTTTTATCGCTGCGCGACGTTCACGTTCAGAACCACAATTTGTACATATCCCAGCCCGAGAAGCTTGTGGAGCGCATGCTTAAGCCACCTTTGGATGAAGTGGTGGGCTCGCATCTAAAGGTGCTCTATTATCTATCACAAGAGCCGCCCAACTACATGGAAGCGTACAATCACCAGGCTGCTAGCTGCTCGGCTGTAGTTAAGCTATTGCAGCAAATGAAGGACGAGAACTGGTGCCTTCCTGTCATGTATCGCGTGTGCCTCGATCTGCGTTACCTGGCTCAGGCATGTGAAAAACATTGCAGAGGCTTTACGCCGGGCCACATACTGGAGAAGGCCGCTGACTGCATGATGGCTTGTTTCCGCGTATGCGCAGCTGATGGACGCGCGTCTGAAGAGGACACCAAACGGCTGGGCATGATGAATCTGGTGAATCAACTCTTCAAGATTTATTTCCGCATAAACAAGTTGCATCTGTGCAAGCCGCTCATCCGTGCAATTGATAACTGCTCGTTTAAGGACAGCTTCCCACTACCGGAGCAGATCACATATAAATATTTTGTGGGACGGCGCGCGATGTTTGATTCCAACTATCGGATGGCTGTAGAGGATTTATCGTATGCATTCACCCACTGCCCAGATCGATTCAAAAGCAACAAACGTTTGATTCTCATATACCTGGTGCCGGTAAAAATGTTGCTTGGATACCTACCACGAAAATCCATGCTGGAGCGGTACGACTTGTTGCTATTTCACGATTTGGCGCTTGCCTTAAAAGCCGGCAACGTAAAGAAATTCGATGAGATCGTCCATGAGCATGAGCTGGTGTTGATTCGCAGCGGAATTTATCTGCTTGTCGAGAAACTTAAGTTTATTGTGTATCGTAATCTGTTTAAAAAAGTGTTCGCCATCCGGAAGACACATCAATTGGATATGGGTGATTTCTTATCGGCACTGCAGTTTGTAGGTGTAACTGATGTGTCCTTGGATGAGACGCACTGCATTATTGCAAATCTCATATACGAAGGCAAAATTAAAGGTTACATATCCCATGCGCACAACAAGTTGGTTGTTTCCAAACAAAATCCGTTCCCGTCGTTAATTTCAACATAGACTTATGGCACTTTAATAAATGAAGCTGAAGTTATTTAAAACTATTTACACATTGAAAAGTTCTTTGTTATTCACCCGCCGATTATAATTAATGGAAATATTCAACAACAAAAGTGATAGTACAGTGTGTATCGATATATGCCGCACAGTGAGGGCTGCTAAAGTGATTTGTATATCGATATATACAGTGTCAGTATTCCGACCGCATGTACACACACTAACGCAAAATCATATGCACACGTATTAGTCTGTATATATTTCCAATAGCTCAGCTGCAATCAGTTTTCGGTGTGCTCTAGTAAATAATACAAATTAAATAGAATAATAGCAAATTTTGGTAAATGGCAGATTAAGTATAAATTATAGCAGATCGCTATGAAATAATGCACTTTACATTGATTTAATTTGCAATACTCGACCGGCTTTACAGAACCCACTTGCAATTGCAAAATCAATATTACTAATTTGCTTTGTATTTTTTCTAATAGTTGAAATGACATAACAAAAATTCATTTGAAATTGTATACGCATAGAAATTAACAAGTTCTCGTTGTTGTTATTGCTATTGCCGTAATTCTAGCGTACCTGGTACCTACATACCTCTAGGAAATTACGAAAAACGAAAGAGGCTAAACCTTCGTAATGGCAGCCCCGGTAATTGTGGAGGCCACGGTCAAGCAGACGGCGACGGTAAGTGCGAAAGAGCAAGATTTCGATTTGGTTTCTAATTTCCAGTCACCTGAATACTTGTATATGTGTATATGCAGCTTATATTCATGCACGGCTTGGGCGACACTGGGTATGTATGACCGACGATTCCCTTGGGCTATGTTTATTTCTTTGTTTGATTGCAGACATGGCTGGAGCAGTGCTTTGGCTGCAGTGCGACCACCCTTCATGAAGGTCATCTGTCCAACGGCACCGACACAACCTGTGTCGCTGAATGCTGGGTTCCGTATGCCGTCGTGGTTCGATTTGAAGACCCTGGATATCGGTGGGCCAGAGGATGAGCCGGGTATACGCGCTGCTCGCGATGATATTCATGGCATGATCAATAAGGAGGTTAGCGCTGGCATACCAGCCAATCGCATCGTGCTTGGCGGCTTCTCACAAGGCGGCGCCTTGGCTCTCTACTCGGCACTGACCTACGAACAGCCCTTGGCTGGCGTAGTGGCTCTGTCATGTTGGCTGCCACTGCACAAGCAGTTTCCCGATGCCAAAGTGAGCAGCGACGATGTACCCATATTTCAGGCACATGGTGACTACGATCCCGTGGTACCATATAAATTTGGACAGCTGAGCGCCAGTTTGTTGAAGTCCTTTATGAAGAATGTCACATTCAAGACCTACAGTGGACTCTCGCACTCGTCCTCTGACGAGGAGATGAACGACGTGAAGGTGAGTGAGCGGAATGCTGAACTGAATTTATTGATGAATTGACAATCTTATCGTTAAAGAATTTCATTACACTCTCCTTGCTCTTCTCTCTTGCAGGACATAATCAGTAAATGGGTAAAATAAAATTTCCATTAAGCACTTTAAGCACTCTTAGCGCGTCTCTTCCTCGCTCGTCTACTGCATTCCAGGAAAGCAAATTACAAAAACAACAATAACAATAACTAAAAGTAAAACCTATTTAAAAAAAAAAAAAACGAATTTGGGCCAAACATATTACATTTTAAACACAAAATGACCGCAGTAAGCAAGCCTCCAAAACATGGAAACACACAATCTGATCTGGCTTGAGTTGATTTTTGTTCTTTTTTAAGACAAATTGAGAAACTAGAGAAACACAATCAATAACCTATATGCTTCGTAATAACACCATGTAAAACTGAACAATAGAGCGAGATATATCAGCGATCAGAGTATTTCAATATACTCTATTTTAAAAAAGTGAAATTGTTTCATAAATTCAGTTAAATTTCAGAAAAAAAAATTGATAACAACCAATAAAAAGCTACTTAATCCATTAAAACAAACAAAGCAAATTTGAATTAAAATTATTAAATAAATTATTCAAAATAATTGAAAACTAGAAAAACATATTAAAATTTAATTTCAATTCAGTTATACAGTAGCTCCTTTTTCAGAATTTTCTACAGATCTAGAATTATAACTATTAAATTCTTAACATTTTAACATTTCACTTTTTTTAAACATGAATTCAATTTTGCTTATCTTTTACTTTTCTTTTCTATTTCTATTTTATACAGCAACAATCACAGACACATCATCTGTAGTTGAATTTAGTTGAATTTGCTTTATAATAGTTTGTGCATTAGTTTTTCGGTGGCTTTAAATTTATAGAATATGTCAAATAAATTAATTTTGATAATTTATTATAATGCTTTTATTTCATATATTTGATTTTAATTGTAAAGCTCTTCCTTTAGTCGCCAACAAATACCGTTACAATTTATAAACACTACTCTCTCTTTCTCTTTTAATCCCATAGAGCTTTTCGCCTTACTCACTCATCTCTCATCTATCTATATTTGCAGACTCATTGGGAGGGCCAGAGCATGGCAAGAAAGGCGCAATGCTGCCAGATATCATAGTAGCTATATGCATAGGCTATGCGAATTGTATGTAGTTACAGTTCCTTCCACAGTCCCTAGTCAAGAAACACGCCGAGCAGATGTCTGAGATTTTTGATGTATTTTAGATATTATTTTGTACATACGTATTATGTAGACTTTAGGCATATTAAATAGCTATTGGAAGTCTCCACTTGGTGGATGGATGTAAAGCAGATTCGCTAAAGCGAATTCAACTAATAAAGTTTTGTGACGACTAGCTTGAAAAAGTCCTTAAAAACTGGATATGGGATAAAATGGACCAAACTTGGGCATAAAATACTTCTAAAGCGCAGTTGTTATTTAGTGAAATCAATATAATTTGAATAAGTTTCGTTATTATATCAAGTCACAATAGCGAATTTGATAATCGATATATCCGATAACAGCGCGTTCAAGCCACTTGCACCATGCATATCGAATATGTTATCGAAATATCGGCGGAAAATTTCAATACATACAATACGTTTTTTGCGCAATACTTGTTGCACGAATATCAGCTGATGAACTGAATACAAAAATAAAAACGGATATATGTGAAAGCTGAGCTACTGTTGCGACCCATAGTAATTTGTTGATAAGACTTAATTTGGTGCATGGCAACCTAAAACCGGCAAATTTAAATAAATTGCTGGATTTTGACTAAAGTAAACAAACGACGAACTGTGCCCCTTCATACAAACACATACAAACGCTCATACAGATGTGCACACGCAAACACGACTCACACACCAACACAAGCACACGTACAGCCAAATAACGTTCACGAACGTGAACCATTCACGACTTCGCTGCGCTTCGCTCAGTTGTTTCCGTATTGCCGCCAAGTTTGGACGCATTCGCTCCGCTCTTGTTGCTTCCAAAGTTCGCGTCGTTGTCGTCGCCGTTGTCGCCGCCGCCTTTATTTTGATAATAAGAAGCGCGAGTGCAGCAAAGCCAGCAATACAAGCGGATAA